TTCTGTATGTAGACAAAAAAATCCCCATCCTAAAAAAAAAAAAAACCAAAATAAAGTTTTCCTTTCATTTACATGAAGAAGGTAATAGAAGATCAGATATTGGTACTGCTTAACTTTGGATGTTATGCAAAATTAGGAAATTGAGTTTTCTATGGGACAGACAGCCTAACTGAAGTCTGCAAACTCTAACAAGTAAATTCTTAACTTACTTTCTCAGCCCTGAAAGCAACATAACTTCCATTTCACTGCTGTATGGATTAAATCAGGACAATGATTCCACTAAAAGCTCTTAAAATCAAAGGAAACAGGTGATGGACTTTGAAAAAAAGCACTTTGGTCTCTTACTATGGAAATTTTAATAGTAAGTATTTMACTCACTTTCTCAGTAGTGAAAATCAAAACAGGCTGTTGGCCTTCCATAAAAGCTCCACTCCACCTAAAAACAGAAAGTTGGATGAACATCTTCCAAATTCCAGRTTTATACAGAGAGTCATATCACTATTCTTTAGGCACCTTCTWATTTTTAGGAAACCTGTATAAATAATTCTAAGATTTTAAAAGCAATGTGTTGGAAGAAAATACCCAACCCCAAGATCCTGCTCTTTGATTTCCCGCCATCTCCTCAAAATGGGAACAACTTTTATCAACACAGTCAAATCGTCCAAGCAAGAATCATCACAAAGCTCCATCACTTACCTGATGACTTCATCTGAGATGACATTTTCAATCTCCTGTTGTGGGGCTTCCAAAAGCACATCCAGTGTCCGAACMCCCCCTCCCTTGAACAGCACCACCGGGCCCCCGTTGGGCAGGGAATGGATCCTGTACACATCTGCTGAGAGCTGCAAGAACAAAAAGAAATCTCTGTTMTCTGCTACACCACCCTGAAAACTGAGTGAAAACTGTTTTCAATAAACTTTTATTAGAAGAATGGTGAACCTTTAAGATTCTTAATAACGTAGATCTAGTAGTCGCTGATTTGCTGACATGCCATAAATGTAAATGTAAAATTTAATCTTTAGAGAGTCCTCAAGAATGCTGGCCTTGGCATAAYAATAATTTTAAGAGAAATATTCTGACGATAAAGTCAGTGCAAGTGGATTCTTTGCAATATTCTAGACCATGAAGCACAAATTAAGCTAAAATGTAATATGGCCAATACTATGAAAATCAGAGCACTCTTCCCTCCACCTGATTCAAAACACACAGAAGAGAACTGTGGAGGAGACTTACTGTTGCTTTAAAGGCTTTGTCCAAGTTAATGTCTTCATTCTTCCATATTCTTAAAACCTTTAAGGGAAGCATAATTTTTAGGTAAAACAGTAACACACAGACTTCTCAGTGCTCMAATTACCAGCAATTGCCCCATGGGGAGTAGAGACAGCAGGAATAGAAACCAAGCTCAGCAATCCTGAACTGGAAAGAAAGGAAGGGATGGATGGGGAAAAGGAAGGAGAAAACAGCAGAACTCTAAATGAAAGCAGATCACAGTGATGAAGACAGGTGAGGTACAGAGGTCTGATTTTCACAAACAAAGCAAGGCCAGGAACGAGATTTCACAGACAGCTATGAAAAGCCAAATGCTACACACAGAAACATTTAACTRTGAAACAAGAGCAGAAACTCAAGGATTGTGGTGTAAATTATTGTCACCATTCCAGCATCATGATCATGCAGTTGTAAATGCCACCCAGGCTGCAACAGGAGAAATAACTCATCCTCCAGGCACTGAGAATCTGCTGTGCATGAAGGCTCACCAGACCACTGGAGCTCAGCACGGAAAATCCTCGTGTCACCCGTGTGCTCAGGGCTCCCCACACTCACATTCAAGCAGAAATGCAGCACTGTTGATTTTCTCCCAGCCTACATTCTCCACTACACCCTTTTTTCCTCTAAAGAAGGGTGAAGGCTCTCACCTTGTCGTCATGAACTGCGATGTACTCGTGGGTTTCAAAGTTGCACACGACAGGACAGGTGAGAATCTGCCCATGTTTAACCGACCAACAGCCCAGGGGCTTCTGATCCGAAATCTACAGTCAGAACAAACACACTGCAATTAAAATATAACACATGAAAGAACACTTTGGGAACTTTTCTCATGACAGAAAGGATAAGCGAGGCAGCCACATCTGATTTCAATGAGAATAGTAAAATATGGAAACTGCTATATTCAGAAATTCCTCTTGAGCGTTCCCGTTTCCACCTTTAACACCAACAATTTTAGAATAACAAGAACTCTACATTAATTAGAATTATTTCTTTTCACGTAAGAAATAACTTTGACCTGTAACAGTCTGAAGGGCTTATGCCATGAAGGTATGAAGCACAGCTTTTCCAAAGGGCAAACACTAATTYTAATATCTACTGTAATTTGTTTTTACTGACTAATATGATCACACAGAGTTGTGCTTTTCCTATTCCTATTTCAACATGAGTTATTGAGACCAAGAGCAGTGGAKTTTACTGTCTGAACTCCTGTTCTGTGTGATTCACACCCGACTGCTCTGAGGGCACTCAACCCCTGTCCTCACTCCTGAGTACACTGTGCATATTTACAACAGTGATGTTCTCACAGATGATCCTGGCAGTGGAAATGAACAACCCAACTCAACCCACGAAGATCATGGAATGGTTTGGGTTGGAAAAGACTTCAGAACACCAAATCTCACAACCCTGCCATGGGCAGGGACACTTTCCCTGATCCAGGCGGCTCCAAGGCCTGTCTAACCTGGCCTTGGACACTTCCAGGGATGGGGCAGCCACAGCTTCTCTGGGAATGTGGGCCAGGGCCTCTCCACCCTCACAGGGAAGGATTTTTTCTCAATATCTAACCTAAACCTACTCTTTGTCAATTCGAACCCAGCTCTGTCACTACAATCCCCCACCCTATGGATGTGAAAACCAACTAAAGAYAAATATTTGCCTCAAGTTTCTTATTATGGTCTACTGAATAACAGAGACCAAAACATCCTTTCAGTTTCAGGTGCTGCAAAGTAAAATCGTCCCTGCTGCTGCCACAGGACGGCAGCTGCCACAGCGCTGACAGCCCAGAACCACGCACCTGCGGCTTCGGCAGGGAAGTGTCCTTTGGGACGGGGAACGGACCGAGAACATCAGCAAAGTGAGAAATATGCGAACAACCGCGCGATCCGCCCGCTGTTCCCGGGCAGAGGGAGCGGCGGGGACGCAGCGGGCAGAGCATGGCCGGGCCGGGCTGGAGCCGTCCCCTGTCCCGCCTCCCGCCGGGGATGGAGACCGGGGACAGCGGGGACCGGGGACAGCGGGGACCGGGGACAGCGGGAACCGGGGACAGCGGGAACCGGGGACAGCGGGAACCGGGGACAGTGGGGACCGGGGACAGCGGGGCATGGCCCGGACAGCCCGGGAGAGAGGGAATACGGGAGGCAGCGCGGCCCCGGCCCTACGGGGACCCCCCACAGGCCGGGGCTGCTCCCGAGGACGCGCGGGCGGTACCTTGAAGAGCGTGGCGGCGCGGCCGCGCTCGGTGAGCAGCACGAGGTCGCGGCCCGGGCCCGGCTCCAGGCACAGCCCGGGGCCGCCGCCGCCGGGGCCCGGCCCGCGCAGCGTGAAGCTCTCGCACAGCGCCGCCATCTTGGCCAGGACAGGCTCTCGCGAGAGTTGGCGCGGCGCACGCGCCCCAGCGTGACCCGGGGCGGGGCGGGATCGGGACAGGGACGCGGTGTCGCGACAGGAGCGAGGTGACTCTGCTGAGGTGATTCTGCTGACCCGAAAGAGCGCGAGACGTTCCGCGTGTGTTAAATATTGTAAATAACACCGAGGGGAAACCGTTAATAACGATCTCAGAACACCGCGACAAAGCGGGGCCGTCAGGGCCCATCGGGGACTGTCCCCATTCCATCGCCCTCAGTGCGCCCCTCAGTCCCGCCGCGGTTCCCACGGCTGGGCCCGCGCTGCCGCGTGTATGCAAATGAGGGGTCAGGTTACGCTAATACTGAATCGCGTGCACGTCAATGAGAGGCGTCACGTGTATGTTGATGAGCAGTCACGTGGCGCTAATTGGGAGGTGAATTAGCTAATTGGGAGGGTTGGATGCGCACAAACCCCGCTGATTTGGGGCCGGTGCGGGGTGTCCTGTGGGGCACCGGGGTGGGATCGTTCCCCGCCGCAGCAGCGCATCCCRGCCCTGGCTTTTCCACCGCTTTGTATTTCCACGTGTGGGATTTTGAGTGTGCGCACATGTCAGTGCAGCCCTACTCGAGCTGTACCCAAAGTGTACAAAACATCAAATCAAACCAGCGGCAGGGCAGGCCGGCTCACTGGGGATCACTCTGCGGCTGCACTGCCCCATTTCTGCTCCCATTTCTGCTCCCATTTCTGCTCCCCCAGCCCGCTTTGGTGCGCACTGACCCCGCCGGGGCTGCCGCGATGTCCCGGGGCTCTGTCCCCTCTGCACCGAGCGATTTCCGATTGAAAACATTTCCAGTCCCCTCTTTGTTCTCCCYGTCCTGTCCCACGCTGTTCTGAAGCGTTTTCCTCCTGAATGAGCCATTCCTCCGGAGCAGGGAAARCTTTGTTTCTATGGAGAAAGTCTCTGTAAAAGCTCGTAAAGAATCGTTGTACAAAGGAAATTTCTGTTGACTAAAATTAACTGACTTGGAGACAAGCCTGAGAGGATTTGAGTGGCCGCTTTTCCAGTATGTTCCAGTTATTTGGTACAACACTGAGCTGCCAAACCCTGCATAGAGAATTAGATTCCCCACTGAAAAACTTCCTTGTCAACCAAATGGCCATTTACAAGTGAATGGGGTAATGCCAGACTGATGGGGCACCTGCCCCGGTAAAACCTTTACAGAGCTGAGGCACAACAGAAGCCAGGAGAGGCTCTAAGTGCTTAAAATTTTCCTYACAAAGCTGATTCTTTGTGCTGTTTAATTTTGAGGAAGTGACTTGCAGAGCTGGGGGAGAAATGTTAATGGTCCATGTTAATGAGGAGGCTCCTGCCTGGAGGAGACCCAGCAAGGGAAAACAGCACCATTGTAAAGAATAGTTGTTGGTAGTTTATTTACAACAAAATGCAAGGGAAAATACAATATTAAAAATAATAAATAACTTGGGGAAAAAAACAGAAACTAAGTGATATGAGAAAAATGACAGTCAGATTCTCCTGCTGAGCCTTGCACTATTTAACGTGCAGAGCAAATCAAGACTTGGTCCTTCTTTGATGGTGGTGATGTATTTTTCCTGATGTTGCCATCAGTGCTCTAAATAAAAGAAATTAATTACTGGACAACAGAATCACGTGGAATTACCACAGAAATGAAATAAACCAATAAAACCTGTTTTAGTGACACCACAAAACTACAGGAGATCGTAATTCAATGACCATGCTGTTCATTTAAAGCAAAACATTGTTAGACTTATTTAGCAATTTTAACTTACACAGAGGAAACCAAGTCCAAACAATGGCAACAGAAAATCTCCTATCAACAATATCTTGAATTCTCTCTTACTGCACTCACTAATTCATAAAAAGCATATATACATCTGGCTTATTTCAAAGGATAACACATTGTTTTGAAGTTATAGTGCAGCAAGCTTCAAAGCAGTTTTAACAAAGTATAGCGGTTTTGTTACAAACTGAAATTCAAGGAACAAATATTTCAGTTTCAAAGTCTCTACAGCAGCAATTAATGCAAATTGGCTACTAGATGTCACAAAATCACCTTCCAGAATAATCAAAAAAGCCAAAGAACAAGGTCAAAYAGTTTCTTTCCATAGGATTTATCCAGTCCTTTACAAAATTATCCATTACATTCATAAGAAATCCCATTAAATCCGTGTTTCAGGAATGTGCTGCTCCTCACAACTTTCATGGGTCCAATAAAAAAGGTCTCCCTTTTTCTCCAATAAAACATCTCCCTTTTTGATTTTTAGGAGATCGACCCTTCTGAAGCTGCACCGTTGTTTTGTAATGATTGTTCTATCCAAAATACACAAAAGTACAAGCAAAGCCTGGAGGCTTTTGCAGAAACCCAAACAAACTCATCACATTTTTTTTTCTCTGAAATGAATTCTCCTTGATAAAAAATTCCTTGCCAAGTCCTAGCAGAGCTGTGTTACAGAATTCTTGTCACTGTGGCAGAGAAGAGGAACTCAGCTGTGGTGCCTGCTCAGCTTTGCTGCCTGGCACCCYGCTCTGAGGGTGTACTCAGTAAATAAATACAGCTTTTCTTTTTGCAAACCAAGTGAGGAATACCTGCAAAACTCTCTATTTTAATCTTAAYATACCTGTTTGAAAATACAACAGAAAGCACTGGGAAAAGTCAGTACTGAAAACAATCCCTTCTTCTCCTCCCTGAAATAYTCAGACCTTCTCATTTCATTTTGTGTGGGTTTTCGTGTTTGCTGGGAATATTCTAGAAAAAGCTATCCTATCCTAAATTCCACCATCTGGCAAATCAATCCTATATCTGGAAATCAATCATTTAAACACGAGTAAAGGTGGGACTGCTGGGCTCTGATAATCTGTGTCAAACCCAGGTACCAAAATGTGAATAGAAACTGTCACATGTGAGCACGAGGACATTGGCAACAGAGCTGAGYAAATTTGTCTTGGGCAAATTAAAAATCAATTGAAACAGACTTTCAGATGGAGCAGAGCTCAATTATTTTTGTATGGGCCAAATGAGAAAACAACCAAACAATGATTTATGTTTTCAAAGRTTTCTCTTTGCTGCCAATGTTCCAATCTTGATACTAAATAAATAATAATAATAATAATAAAAAGATTAGCCATGATCCTGTGATTCTATCGTGTGCACCCTTATTAAGATGAAATCATAAACCAGTGTAGGAAAGTTCTGGTTTTAGCATTACAGCTTCTTTTTCAACAAAACGTCACCCATTATGTCAGCAATCACTCGGAATTACCAGCTCTGGGAGGAAAAGCAAAGCCAAGCTTTGTACATGGGAGAATGCAGGAAGTCAGACCACAGCAAACCTACAGAGAGCTCCTGGATTGTGCTGGCTGCAGGATTTGCACTATCAGACAAACGAACRCTTGTTTCAGTGCAGGTTGGAATTACTTCTGCTCCTAAAACTTCCCCCTAAATACCACACATTCCACAAAAGTTGTACTGCAGCTGCAGCCAGCSAGGAGCTCAGAGCATTTCAGCCACTGTGCCCCGGCTTTGGGCACCCCAAAAGTGATTGATCAATATTCAGTGATAGCTCAGCTCTGGAGAACTCTCTTTGCTCTCAATCCATGAACCATGTCAGTGGAGGCACAAAGTGTCACCCACTGATCACAGTTCAGGTTGGAGCTGGCATTCCCTGGGAATTGTATTTCACCAAGAGCCAGGAACTGAACASAGCAAAGTGCCCCAAAGTGGGGTCAACAGGGAAAGGGGCTCCGTTTATGCTTTSAAGAGGAAAGAAGGAAGGAAAAGACCCCTCCTGCCTTTTATTTTTCTCCATCTTCCACGATCTACACTTCCCTCTGGGAAACATCCTTGCCTACAATTGAATTCCTGAGATTGAAGAGTGATTTCACAGGAGATCAGGAGAGCACTTCTGGTTCCTGACATCACCCACGGCTCGTTTTCTTTTGAAAGTGGCTGGTTGTGTCCCCTGCCCCAGCTCTCCCTCAGCAGATTGTGCTGCTSAGCAAAGATGCTCAGCAGGAAAGAAAAAGGAGTCTCCTGTTCTCTTCCCTTCACATTCAGGGTCTCCCAGCCTGACTACYGCTCCTCTTCCAGCGAGGAAAAGACACAATTCATTGCTTTTGCTTCTCAACTGGCACCGTTCAGCTGCTTTTTTCCAATGCCACAGAACACCATTGATGAACACCAACACTCTGAGCTCACAGAAGGACAGGGGGGAGCTAGTAAAATACCTTATCTACAAGAAATAGGCGATTTCTTTTACAAATTCTGTGCAAGGTAGAAATAGTTCGATGGCCTCAAAGTCAGTRTAATTAATTACAGTTGGGGCTTTGATACAGTGATATTTTAGGTTTGAAAAGATTTGTGGTTTGTGTTTAGGCCCCAAATCCTGAGTCGTATTCAGCGAAACGTGGATCTGTTGGTGTTCAAGTACAATGAGTTACAGGTCAAAGGTTTATGAACACACAGGAGAAGCCTGAGAGTGGGAAAGATTTTAAAACTGGTTATAAAAGAAGGAAATGGGAGGGGTTTTTTTTCTGTTAACCCTRCATTCTAGTTGGCACTAATTTGCCTCAGAAGTCCTTGGCAGATTTACTTAATACCTACTCCTAATTATAAATGCTGTGACCTAGATGAGGGTTTGCAGGCAGAAAGATTGATTTTCGTTTATAGCATCCCCTCAGACTGTTCCATTGATGTCAGTAAGATGCACCATATGGCTTGAAACACTACTTTAGGAATATATAAACTACTTTCTCTTGCATGCACTTTTCAGAAGGTTTTAAGGATCAAGTCTGAGGAAAGAAGTCATCTTTCCACACTGGAAAGATTATTTTTAGCCAAAAAAAAAAAAAAAAAAAAAAAAAAAAAAAAAAAAAAAAAAAAAAAAAAAAAAAAAAAAAAAAAAAAAAAAAAAAAAAAAAAAAAAAAAAAAAAAAAAAAAAAAAAAAAAAAAAAAAGAAAAAAAAGGAAAAGAAAAAACAACCAACAAACCACCACGACCTTTGTAGCAATTGAGTTATGTCACTCTTGCTGTGGCAGACATGGCTTATCAGGAGGAAACATGCAGGGTTAATTTAAAAGTTTTTCTTCGATGGATCTGGAAGAGTGAGAGTTTCTGGAGCAGACTTTTTCCGAGGCCGATCTTTGGGAACCGTTAGGAAATCGGGAGCATCTGTGGAGAGAGGAGTTGATGGAGCACTAGATGGAGCACTGCGGGTTGAGGAAGGCATGGAAATGTTAGAGATAGATATTGCCGGYGGGAAAATCCCAATCTTCTTGTTGGTGGCTTCCTGAGTGGCTCGTTCAAACTCTCGGACTTCATCCATTGTCATGTCTTCAACGAGAAGGAATGAAAGACAAAGACACGTCAGAATAATTTCAAATAATCATTGCATTAACTCAGTTAAACTACTTCCATGCAAATCCTGAATCAGGGAATGATTGCTTATCACGCATCTCATTAAGTGATTCTCCACATGGATAACTCCCCATTGTAAAGCGCTGACTGGAGCACAAAGAGCACAATGTAAAGGAAACAAAGTTTTAAGTTCATTAAACACATACTAATGGTTCTTCTACCTGGGTCTGAGCTGAATAAAGATTGCTGCTTCTGTAATTGCTGGAAAAATCCAGCTATTCCGCAGGCAACACAGTCAGCAGGTCGAGTTTTCAGAACTTCAAACAAAATACAGCTGAAAGGAGTTTTATGTTTTAAATTTAGATTATAAGCCCAAATGGACAAAGGGTTGTCGTGGTTTTGTTCATTTGCTGTAATTATCAAGGGATGAAAAATAAAGTTCCATTGACTTTTAGCTGCAGTTTCATGCACAGGACCGAGCCCGTTTTGCTTTCCCACTAATAAAACCCAAAGAATTCCCTGTCCCTGACAAAGCCACAGCTTTCAAAGCCGCACCTCCCGACTTTCCATCCACAAACTGCACTTCAGCACCGCTGGGCAGRTGACAAATCCTGCTCAATTCCCGAAGGCAAAATGAGACGAGAGATGGGAGCGGCTGTGGGGTGGAAATCGGGCGGGTCCCGCAGGTGCCGGGGTGTCCCGGTGCCCAACCCCACAAGAGGGCAGCGCCATCCCAGCGTGGATCCAGCTCGGGAGCCGAGCCCCGCAAAACTTCCCATCAAATCCCAAGGGAATGGCATCTACAAACTGGGAAGTTGAGCAGAAAGTCAGCCAGGCTCTGCTGGAACCTGCTGCTCCATGTCTGCAGAGCCTGCAAGACGCCCACCGAGCACACTGGAGGCAATGGTTAAAATTTTTGCTGAATGTCAAGTTAAATTCATAAATTTGAAGTATTTCATTAGACTGTTTATAGATTCTTTGAGCCCCGGGAGCTCAAAACCCCAAAAATAAAACCAGCAGTCTTTTAATCAATTAAGAAATCTCACATATTTGAGCACAGGACTGGCAGTGGGGATTACCAAMTGTGTGACAAACCCTGTCCTGCCAGGATGCTTTTACCCAGCTGCAGACATGTGCAACCTTGGCTGTGGAAGCAGCTTTCTGCCCTGTTCCAGCATCATTAAAAAAAAAAAAAAAAAAAAAAAAAAAACCCCCAAATAAAAAAAAAAAAAAAAAAAAAAAAAACCCAAAACAACCCAAAAAAACCCCAAAAACAAGTGTGCAGGGAGCCAGCTGCCTTCCCTTCGCTCCAGGGACCTTCCCAGCCCACCCTGGCAGTTATTAGGAGTGAGAACACGCCTTTTTTCAGAGCTGACAGAAGTGGTGGCAATAAACAGATGGTCCCACAGGAGCTGCACCTACTCGTGTTGGAGAGAGCTTTGAACCTGTTTTGCTGGTTTACATTTCGTTTCACACCCTCTAACAGTGCGTGAGTGTTTCTGCACTCAAAGGGTCCAAAATSGCCCTGAAATCTCAGGGATTCTGATTGAGGAATTCTGCACAAGGTGAACCAGAAGCTGTCTCAAACAAATGGAGGGGACAGGAATGAATTTCTCAATGCATTTAAGTGAGGTCCTGCTGAGTGGAGCCTCCAGGACTYTCCATTTTCAATTCAGACATGAAATATTTCAATTGACTTTTGCTTTTTAGCTTATATTTGCTTTAATTCCCTTCTGCTCTGATATACAGGCAAGTAAAACAGTCCTTACACGGAGCTAGGAGGACTCAGATTCCCTTTTTTTTTCTTTCATTAATAACAACTTCTGTTCTGACCTCAATGACAATTTTTCCACATGGAAACTACAGGTGGCAGACTTCATTCAGAACCAAATCCTGAAGTGCAGAGCCAAAAATCTGAATTAATTCTCTACTTAGGATGTCAGTGAAGCTGCTGTTCTGCAAACACAAGAATTACCTCCCTGGGGACTGCCCAGCCACTGAGCAAGGACCAAGGAAAGACCTGGAGTGGTCAGACCTTGCCCCACACTCTTCACAYGGCTAAATTCAGCACTGRRTTCCACAGCACCATTAKCAGAAATGAAGGARAAATGACATTTCAGRAGCAAAGGCCACTGCATCGTCTCCATTTGCAGACAGTGATAATCTCTAATTTTAGGCTTCTGCTTGTGGTGCCCGAATTAGGTAATTAAATACCTCATGAAATTTCCATTTCTTTATGAATCAAAGAACCTACACAGAAACCYGGCCTTTCCACAAACCACTGTTACATAATTCTGAAAATACTTCCCACCTTGTTGGTAGCTAATCAATGATGGTGACATTAAAATTATCCTGAAAAGAGTGAATAATTAATTCGATTTTTTTCCTGGTGAAACATAGAGCTTTGTGAGTCCCACAGAAGTTTTCCACTCCCCATGTTCTTGGCTTTTTGACTGGACCACTGTGAACTCCTGCATTTTGTAACTATTCAAAGAATAGAAGGTAAAAATCCTCTTTTTTTTTCCTCTTCAAACTTCCTTTTGAAGCATCCAAATGGAATTTGAGCATTGTGTTTTCCTGGAAGCCAGGGAGTTGAATAGGAGCCCAACCCCACCCTCCCTTACATAACTGGCAGGTTTACAGAGCAAACCCAAGGCAGGRTTGCACTTCATGGAGAAAGATTCTGTTCCTACTGAAAAAAAACCTCCCCAAAATTCCACTGATCAGCAATTGGTTTCTCTTCTCTGCTCTGTGCAAGTGTATTGGCTGAGGATGGGCAATATGTTTGAAAAATCAACATACTCTTGCTTTGGCATGGCTCTCTATTTCATCCACAGTAGATGAATGTTGGTTGCAAACTTTAATGTTGGTTTTTTCATGCATATTTTTCTCGTATTCTCGAACATCATCCATAGTCATATCTGTAAAAAGTTCAGAATTGTTGGCATTTTCCATTGATTCAGTGCAAACTTTTTTTTTTTTTTCTGTAAGGAGAAGGTTCTAGGAACACAAAGTCTTTCAGCAGAAGCCAACAAAGGATTTTTWAAAAAGCAAGGAGCAACTAGCTTTATGCAAATTGCCTCATAAAGGTAGTTGTGTCAGCCAAGGAAGGTGGGGKTTAAGTCAAAGGGAGTCAGAGAACAGGAAGGAGTGGAAATTGTTCAGGAATATCTGTGTAATGTAAGGTAGGCAGGAAGTACTGAAGTGCAGGCCTTGGCAAGGACCAAGATCTTCTAAAGAGATTTTAGAAGATCCTTTGGAGTAAAGGATAGATACAGAAAYATTATGAAAATATTATAAATGTTTACTTACCTTTCCAGCACTTGGGAAAAAAGTTTATGTTAACTTTGCATTTTACATCTCATAACCAGCAAAACTTTGAGTGTTAGAGCCCACACCAGTTTAGATTCCAGAAACTAACAGTTACTTATACTGGTAAGTGAATTAATTATGGCTGTGTTAATGGTTGTGTAGCCTCCAGCACTTTAATGAATTTTAAGAATTAGAAATATCCCCCAAATCAGGATGATGCCAGCAGCAGGATCAGCACTGCCCAGCATGGTCAGTCTGTGGAACACCAGGCAATAGTTATTTTACACGATTTGTCATCAACCACAGCTCCAGCAAAAACATAAAGAATCCAATAATTGACTTGTGACCCTGCTTTTCTGAGAATTCTGTGCTTTCAGTAAATCCACTGGGGAGCAGGAGGCACAAACAGGAGCGGTGTCAGCTTTTGGTCTGTTCTTTACGATGCTTTGGTAACTCCAGAGCCTCATAAAAACAGCCATCAACTTTTTACTCAAAACACTTCAAGAGCATTTTATTAGCACGGCCTGCTTGCAAATGGGTGCCCCTTTGGTTGTGCACTGTGATTTGCTCTTGAGGCCCCATTTTTCTCAGGTTTATGATGTGCCACTGGGATTTGGGAGTTCTTGTATCACAGCACCCCTGCTCTGTGCTCTGAGGCTCCTGCTGCATTTTACGAGGCAGCTTTTAAGGTGAGATACAACTTCAGCTGTTCCAGTGGCAGCACAGTGYCATAACTCATCAGTAAAAAGAAATGCAGTCTAAAATTTTGATCAAAAGGAAACATGGAATACTACTAACTCGCACTTTTTCAGTTTTTTACTGTTATCTGGAATGAGAAACAAGCTCAGAAGCCGTGTCAGTAACATGCTGGGATGCACTTTGCCAAGCAGAGAACATGCTCTTTATTAGTAGGTAACACCAAGAAAATAGAATTTCTTAATAATGAAGCTAAACCAAGTTTAGTAAATGAAATGATAAAACATATTCATACTCACAGGGTCAGAAACAGCAACCAGTCATTAACATAACACATTGTTTATTAAACTGATTATTTGATTCAGTTTACCTCACTACCACCATCGCCAGTTCTTTCTCAAACTTTTRTTTTAAAAGGTGTTAATAGATACTTAAAAAATATATTTTTGATGCTATATACTAAGTCTTGATTTATATCTGTTTTATTAAATCCAGATTTTTTAGATTTTGTACTTAACCTGATAATTAAGCTCTAAAAGTACACTCTGTTAGCAAAGAGTCTCACTCTGACAGGAAAAATCCACGAGATAATTGCGTATCACAATATTTCACTTGTGGAAAGAATATTTTTGGCAGGGTGTTTTCAGACTTAGGAGGGAAAATTTTTTTGTGAAATGTTTTTGAGCTAAACCTATTTGATAGGTTTAACTTCAGGGCTATTCATTTGTCATCATTATCAGTAACTCTCCTGAAGTGCAGGTGACATTTTGCCTCCCAGTAACATCCTCYGTGTCTCACTGATGGATATTTTGGGTAGATTGGGAGCAAATTTATGGGCTCGATTTTTACATGAAGTCAGGATGTTTTATTTAAAGTTACYAGTTTTCCTGACTTGGTACAGGAAAAAGAATGGATTGCTCTATTTCAGATTAAAAAAAAACCCCGAATCTAAAATAAAAAAAAATAGCTCTGAAGAACTCTCCTSACTGGATATAAAATTCTCTTACTGGTTTACAGCTATCCCAAAAGAAAAGATATTTTTAGCAGTTTTCAGTATTTTTATGACCATTAGAGCACAAAATTTTCTTTCAGTATTAAATTTATAAGAACTCTGTGATTTCAAAAGCATTTTTTCTCTAWTTCTAAACAATGATCCCACTGAGTTTGTGGTTAAATTCCAGGGGACRTTTGTGCAGGGCTGTGACACCTCTGAGCTGTGTTTGCAGCAGAATGGCTCAGCTCTGATGGGAGAGGTGTCACTCACCCATGAAATGCCCAAACTGGTGTTTCCTGAAGCTTAACGAAGATCTGAATAACCATTCTAAACATTTTGCCAAATTCCTGTTGTATTTTACAGAGCTGTCTCAGAACCTGTTCTAATCTGTGATTAAGGATATATCCTACAGAAAATACATGTAAAAGGCACAAACCCAGTGAGCTGATTTTATCCAGTGCAATTGGCTGGTTTGATATTCAGATTTCTCTGTCCTCCTGGAAGTGCAATATTCCCACAGCTGGCTCATGGATTCCCAAGACTTTTTGCATGCAGCTGCTGCTGAATCACACCCAGTAGGATTTATGCTTATGTACATCTTTTTTTTTTCAGAAAAGCTAAATATTTTCTTTGCTGCAATCCATATCAATAGTTTAAAACTTTCCTAAAAAGCTGGAAATGTGTGGGATCAGAGGCCTTAGGAGTTTGCAGGATGGAAATGGAAGAACTTCTCAGGAAGAACTTTATCCAAAGCTGCATGARGTTCTCCTTACAGATGGCYCCTGCCTGCCTGCAGTGCAGGGTGAGATGCTGCAGGAATGAGATGCTGGGGTGGAAAGGCAGCCCTGGATGCTKYCTGTGGCTAAATTCAGCATCCCTGRAATGCYCAAGGCCAGSCTGGATGGGGCTTGGAGCAGCCTGATCCAGTGGAAGGCRTCCCTACCCATGGCAGGAGGGTGAAGGAGATGATCTCAAACAGCTCCATCTCCTTCATGAACAACTCCCACTAGGACCTGATGATCCAAAAAGCACAGAAAACCTGCTGGTACCTGTCCTTGGGGCTTTGCAGCAGCTCTTTGGAAAGGTTGGCTTTGGAGGACACTTACCATACCACTCATCCACCCAGGCAAACGCCTGCCGGTGCCCGATCAGGAGGATGTCTCTGACCACCTGCAAACAAGGAAAGGGTTAAAGGCCTCAGCAGCAAAAACCATCTCATCTGTGTCTTTCAATGGGATTCAAAGTAAGAAACCCTCTGACAGGTTTGTGTCTAAAAGGACATTCTGGATGCTGGCTCTGGAGGGCTCCTGGTCCAGCTTTCCACTGGATCTGCTGCCAGCACTGAATCACRCTTTGACTAGCACAGGAATCCATTGGGAGTGTGTACAAAATCCACTGATTTTTGGCCAATTAGACATTCTGGATCTCTTCTTTTTCCTTCTCAGTTTTTCAAACATGTGGAAGGTCAACACTATGAAAAGTTTTATCCCTTGGCAGTCATGCTATTCATTGATATTTTAGTAGACAGGAAAACTTTCCCACTATCTGTTTCTAAGGAATTTTGCACCTCACTGCAGAATTCAGTGGAATTCAGACACCTCACTGTCCCCACRTGTATGGGACTCAGAAATGACTTCAGCTCATACATTTGTCACAGCACTGRAAATGTTATTGACAGTTTTTCTCAACCTTAGGCCTGATCAGCTGTGGGTTTTGTCAAGTTTGTTCCCAGAGCAAAGTCCTTGGCTCTGCTCCAGATCCTTCAGACCTTGTGAGAGCTCTGAGCACAGACTGGGCCGAGCTCCCAGGCTTCTCCACAGCCATCACCACATTCCTGGGAGTGCTCGAGTTCTGCTTATGTGAAGGATAAGGAACAGCTCCTGTTTCACTGACCTTGTGTACAAATTGCTCTACTCTGGTTTGAAGTCCCCAGACTTCAAATTTCACAGTCACAAGTTTGTAGGAACACATAATTGGCTGATGGGTCTCTCTCCAGCCTTCTTTTAATTGGCCTCTCCCAGTTTTCTGTGACTTGAAATATTTGGGATCCTGCAAAACAAAACATACAGGGGAATGCAGAAGGGGAAGTAGTGTTTGTCAGTTTGCTAAAGTAAATGTTTTGATTCGATATAAAATATTAAAACATGCTAATAAACATTATGAAAAAGTAATAAGAAATTGCCTTAAACATGTACTAGGATATTCTACAATCCAAGCTTGGCAGTGAATCGATGGCAGCATATTCTTGGAGATGCATTGACAATCAGATCATTTCGGGTGTTTTCTGCTGTAAGAAAATCTGTAATTGCAGGTCATGACAGTGCAGTGCACTCCAAGGGTTATTTATGGCCTTTGGAAAAAAAAAAAGTGGCTTTTTCAGAGCCTGCCTTAGCAGTGCCCCTTGGTGTGAAATGCTCCTCCTTCCTGCCCATGCYTGGCTTCCTGAAATCGTGTCCAGCTGGAGCTTTGGCACTTCAACACTGACCCTGACAATGCCATTTTTGGTTTGAAGTGAATTTGTACATCCTAAGCTAAGCAGGAAACTCCTGCAGTTTAGCTCTGGTGATAGCTGAGTTATGAACAAACACTGAGAAAACCCAAATCTATTYCTCTTTCAGCAACTGGGAAATCAAAGAAACTACAACATTGAAATGACAACATTTCATAAAATGCAATAAAAAAATACAAAATTTCATAAGGCCATTAAAGGCATTAGTTCATCTTTTGAAAGTTTACTTTCATCTCTGCAAGATACAGTTTTATCTATGAAAGTGTTATTTTCCAAACTGGTATAATTCTATTTCCCTTTATGTCCAATCCTGCTAATTATRTCTTGTAAATAGAAATAATTTATGGTTAAACACTGACTGTCAGAGCTTGAAAATTATTTCATTTCAGAAAATCCATAGTGGAGCTTCTAAAATCTGTCCTGAAGAGCAAGCACCAGTGCTCAGCTGTGTTCTTTTCCAGTGCTGAGATCTGGGRAGATCCTTTGTTATAAAAGTAGTTAAACATGTATTTAAATATGTGCTTAAATGATGCATTAAATGGGTGACAATCAGGAGAAAAACTAAAAAAAAATACAATAACTGATCTTAATTTTATTTTATTCAGTGTGAGTTAATGTATCAGTTTCCTATGGTTTGGTTATCTCTTAACTTCTGGTTTTATCACAAACAGAAGCTCTGCCATTAAAGCTCCTCTCAAAGCTCTAATGAGGTGATAGTCTTTCCTCCCCTTGAAAGTCACTGCTTTTATTGCTGACACAGCCTTTGCAAAGGGGAGACTTTGAGCTCGCATTATAATGAGGTTTCAATGTTAAATCACCATAAAAACAATTCAGCATCATCATTTATCAGAGCAACACCCCCCTGCATAGCACAGCTCATGGTCACAGGATGCTGCCMATCTTGTCACCCAACAAAGCTCAACCACAGATGGATTCACACATTTTCTGGTTGAAAGAGTTGTTTAATAATTGATCATTGCCTGGAGCAATCAATATAATAATAATAACACCAATAAAAAGAAAAAAGGGAAGAACTGAGACATAATATTCAGAAAGATCTGACATTTTAGCAGGAGATTCCTTGAACAAGGAAATAAGTACAGAAAATATGATTTCAGGTATGCCTGCAAAATATTCCAGAGTGAAATAAGGATCTCTAAAAAGGAAAATAGTTCCCTATGAGGCAGGGTCTGCTGTTGTCAAACACACACAGTGCTGGTGTGATGGGGCCATTGCCTTGATTCAGCATTTCAGATRCACACTTTAATAATTCTGAGTGTTGTGCTTTATAAGCCTTCAGAGATAACCACATCTATAATGGAATAACTTCTGTGCAGTCCAAAGGGATTTAATGTAATCAMTTTGAGTCAGTATCAAAAATGGAGAATTTCTAACTAAAATTGAAATAATGAATACCTGTCCTGCATCTTTGCTTGGTCCCAAGTTTTATGAGTTGTTTCTGCTTGTTTTGGTGAGTTTAACCCAGCAGACAAGGACACACAGAGTGGCAATCACTGAAATTGGAGGTTCACACATCACCCACGGACTGCAACTCAACTCATCCATGACATCAGTCCCAGCTGCAAATTCCCTTCAAGCACCCAGAGATGGCACCTCTGCCTGCCTTAATCCTGTCTCTTTTTCTTGAAGGACACGAGGATTAGTCACAAATTGGCTGGAGAGCTCCCYGGGAAGAGCCAGGAGATGACAGGCACCTCACATCAAACAGCTCTTAGGGAAATTCCTGCCTCTCTGGAAACATTAACACATTGACACCATAAAACTGCAGACTGATGAATGAATGGAAGGCAGAACCTCAGAGGAACAGATTTCCAGCCTGCTGTGTGGAAGATCAAGGTGTTAAAGACTTCACTGAGTGCTTGCTCAGGGMGCTGAGACTCCAAGGCTGTGCCAAAGCCAAGCAGGGGGATCCAAGGTTTGCTGTGACATTGGGGCAAAGTCAGCTTGAGAATTCCATTTCCGGGCCATCAGTTCCAAGGGCACAAATGTTTCACAGAGGTGAGCTGTTGTAAGGRAAACAAATATCCCTGGGCTTTAACCCAGCTGCTAAAAAATTACGTGTTTAACAGCATCTTGGGCTATTTTAGAAAGACAMAAATCCTGTCTCAGCAATTGCTTGTGCTATGGATCATACAAGGAAGTCTTTAGAGGAAGAATCTCTGCATTCATCTCTATATTTTGCATGTAATTACACCTCTCCTGGGCCTCTGCTCCTAAGCACAGCTCTGACCAGGACTGCTCATCTTTTTTTTACTTCAATGCCTGCTCCAAAGTCCACTGAAACTAATGAGAACTTGGCCCAAGGATGATTTTATGTGCCTAATTTGTGGGTTCAAATTGCCAGATTAAGGCTGACAGCCTGGAATCCTTTCTGCACTTAGGCATACAAAGTCCTTCTATAGCAAAAAACCAAGGCAGGGCTGATAATTTTTCATTAAAAGCAAGTAAAATCATATTGGTACCCAGCACTGCTTCTCTAGGCAGGACTCAKGGCACACGTACTTGGAGCTTCTCTTTCTGTGACTCGAAACTGGGCAAGCTGAACTTTGCTCTGACCTCACCTTTATGTTATTATTTAGATAATTAATTTTGTGTGTTCCTCATTTTTRCTTTTACACACCCATGCCTTTCTTCCTAGAGAAGGCATCATCCAAAGAATACTGGGTCTATTCACTATTTTCCCCTTGGTTTATCWACTGGCAAAATCCTCAATCTGTTTTAAATGTAATGGCATAGCTAAAATCTTTTTGTTTAAATAACCTTCTCGTCCTTTTATCAGACACAATTTATTAGGAAAGCCCATCTGGCAAATCCTTTTGCTAGAGGAGCAAAACCTACTCTGTATTTGCAATACATTATTGCCAGGTGCAGAGTGATTTAAAAATAGCACTTCTGCCAACAGAGCAGAAACATCAGAACCCGTGAGCTGGGCTTAGTTGAGAATAAAATGTAAAATTACAATGAAATAAAAGCCTCTGAATGTGGGATTTGGTTTCAAACACAGCACTCTCCCAGGGTTTATTACTTAGACCATGAATCCTGGCTCAACGTGGTTATTGTTGGAGTCTATTATTTATCATTTAGCATTTATTTACTTAACTTTCCTCACGGATGTCACGGGCATCAAGCGTGGAATGGCAACGCCCTTTCCAGGAAGCAAAAACCAGCACAGCACCAGGCTGTGGCAAGGCCTTTCCACAATTAATTGCACAAATAATTGCACAAATAATTCCACAATTAATTCTGAGCTGTTACTTTGTGCTTGGAGCTAAATAATGAAATGCAATTGTTGTTTACAGAAAAACAACCTTCCTTCCTTCCTTCCTTCCTTCCTTCCTTCCTTCCTTCCTTCCTTCCTTCCTTCCTTCCTTCCTTCCTTCCTTCCTTCCTTCCTTCCTTCCT